AGTGCCATGGTGTCATAGCTCACAGCAACCTCCAACTCCTGGGCTTAGGCGATTCTCTTGCCTCAGCCTCCTGAGTAGCTGGGATTACAGGCACCTGCCACAACGCCTGGCTATTTTTTTGTTGCAGTTTGGCCGGGGCTGGGTTCGAACCCGGCACCCTCGGTATATGGGGCTAGAGCCCTACTCACTGAGCCACAGGTGACGCCCTAGATACTAGAGTTTTTGTGAAGAATTATTTCAGGGTGATGTGATAGAGTAGTTACTTGAAGGCTGATTTTGATCACATGCTTAGAGTAGGGAAAGGTCTGAATGGCAAGAAGAAGCCAGCCATGCCCACCCTGGGCTTTAACTTCTAGGCATTGGGAATAGCTTTGATTCAATGGCCTGGCACAGGAATGAGAGCCCTGTATAGAGTGTCATGGTTCAGGGGGAGTATATGGGCCAGGGCAGGTAGTTTGGGGAATAACAGAATATGATTTATTATTTAGAAATTTTTGTCTCGGGGAAGAAAAATAAGATCACTTGTGACTATTGTATGGAGACTGTTGTGTACTGGGGTCGGAGCAGAAACAGGGAAGTCAAAGGCTCTTTCAGATAAGGAGATGGTGCAGCTCAGATTAGGGTAGTGGTGGTGGAGAGAAGGCAACGGATTTGTTACGTATTTTGTAGTAATTAAGGAAAATGAATTTTTTTTTCATTTCAAGCTTGCTTTGGAACGTCAGAAAACTGCAGAGAAAGAGCGATTATTTCTTGTATATGCTAAGCAATGGTGGAGAGAATATTTACAAATTCGACCCTCACACAATTCACGGCTGGTTAAGATTTTTGCACAGGTTCGTAAGTTATATTAGAAAAGTTTTATACCTGTATTTGAGATATGCTGTTGTATGTGTAAATTTCATTTAATTTATGTTTGTAAGATGCATTTATTCCAAAAAAAGTTTATTTGTAAAATAAAATGTTGATTCTGTAATATTCTTTCACTGAGTAGGTGAGTGGTATAATACAGTCTTTGTTTTATTTTGCTTTCAATTTTAATTATTGTATTTTAAGCCCTTTCTGAATGTTTTTCATTTAGAGTAAATGAAAGTTCATTTTGTTTAACTTGGAGCATATCCTTGCTTAATAACTTAGAAACAAATAACCACTTGGATGGACACTTTGCAGTTTATGTGTAAATTCAGGTCTTTTTTTTTTTTTTTTGGCTGGGGCTGGGTTTGAACCTGCCACCTCTCTGGAGCCAGC